AAACACATTCCCTTGAATAGAAATCATCACCAATTGCCCAACCCCGTGAAATTATTTTAGCAAACTATACCGCACCCTGTGACCTCGTAGAACTGTTTTAACGTCTTACTTCACTGTCCGCAATAGTTTTGCTATCTTCCGTTGCTATGAACTCATAATCAGTTGTGAAATCCAGTTGTAATCTCACAATCAGATGGGTCACATATGAACCCACGAAAACCCCGTGCTAATCGCTTGGCTCAGTCTCTGTTGTGACTGAAAAGTTCAGAAGAGTGTACTATTAGCAGCTTTATACTCACTCGTTTGCAACATTTCCAGTCTGTTGTTTAGCATCGAAATCCGTCTGCAAAATCTTCGCTAGCCAAACACATCCCGAATGGAATTTTCTGCAGTTCTCAAGTTTTCCTATCGTTTCGCAAATTTTTAAGCGATTTCTCAGAATGATCACCACTTGCAAAAAATCATCCTTAAGCTTGCTTGACCCATCTTCTTATAAATTTTGTCTTCAAAGTGTATCCAGTTCGATATAACCTCATTGATAAAATTTTTATATCCGGTGTTTTTTGCGAAATAAGGCGCTTACAGTCATGTACAGGTGCAAATTGCTGGCTGATGCGAATGCTAAACTTTTCGGAGCGTGCAGATTTTAATGACCAGTGGCGCAGTTTATGATTAGGATAACTGTGATCAGTTACAAATTTCACGTTCACATAGTAGATTGGTATTAAATTAACCAGCGAAACTAGCAAAATGCTAGTTTACGGTCTTTGCAGTAGCTTATTTTATTCGAAATTGTTCCCGGGGATAATAGCAATCATGCCAGAAGCTATACGTTGTGATGAAGATTTGTGCAAAAAATGAAGAATATAGCAGGATGATTTAAAANATAACGGGATTGTTGGAGAAGATGTCTTCAACTGACAAGGATTATCGATTCATGGCAACAAACGATTTGATGACCGAATTGCAGAATGATTCAATCAAACTGGACGACGATTCCGAGCGAAAGGTTGACATTTTGCTGAAAAAAACCCTCAAGTTTCTTTATTTTATGGAGTTTACTTCTAGTTCCACTGTTTTCATTTCATTCTTCATGTTAAGGTTACTTTAAAATAAAACAAATGGAACAAAGAATTTGCATTCTTCGTAAATTAGACTTAACCACAATTGAAGGTTGTGCGAATGCTTTTGAAACTTCTCGAAGACAAGAATGGCGAAGTGCAAAATTTGGCTGTCAAATGCCTTGGACCACTGGTGCATAAGGTCAAGGAACCTCAGGTTAGGAATCTCTCTTTAAAAATATTTGTTTTGCTCGCTTCTCATGTATTACTACTTGAACTCTGACTTTTTTACTTATTGATGTCGATTGCTAATCTTTAAGCTATCTAAATCATCACTTGAGATATTCACTGGTTGTTCCAAATTTCAGCATTATCCTTCGAGTCAGATTCAGGCTCAGTTTTGCAGTAAATTTCAGAGCCGAGTTCGTCGTAATTTGCTCAAAATCGTTCATTCATAAAGCTTGAGATATTCCGGAATGTGACACTTCAATAGTGTATTCGTTCTTTGTTTGCAAAGGAATTGAAATGTTTCAATCGGTAATAATCATGCAAAGTCGTGGTATCTGATGGATATATGTAATGCGTATTTGCATTTGAATGGTTGTTGTTTTCAGGCAGAATCAATAGTGGATACGTTATGCAACAATATGATCTCAGGCAGTGAACAGCTTCGTGACGTTTCATCGATTGCGTTAAAAACTGTCATCAGTGAATTACCTCCATCGAACACGGCTCTCACATCGAATGTGGTCAAACGAGTCGTACCAAAACTTACAGATGCACTCAGTTAGTCGTCATTCGGAATCTATTTCCTTTCATTTCTGATAATCGAAGTCGTTAGCGTGTTAGTAATGATAATAACGAATTAACAAATGTGATGTTTCATTTGGATGAATATTCCAGAGGAGAGTGCACCAACAGAGGCATCAGTTCGATTGGAAGTACTCGATATTGTAGCAGATGTTTTGCTTCGTTATGGTGCGAATATTGCGATCTATCATAATCAGGTTTGTATTTTTATCATTTCTATTATCATTATCACTTTCCATTGTTACATTTGAATAGCTTGATGGAGCAGTCTGTTAAATGCGATCTACTGAATATGCTGTTGATTTCAAGACCATATTAACTGATTTCAAGTTTTTTCAAAGTATGAAAAGTTTCATTTTGTTTCTATTCCTTTTAGCAACGCTATGCTCAGATCAGCTAACGAGGTCACGGGAAGATCGTAGGGGAGATTTTGAAAGGTTGTTTCAGATTGAATGTAATGTAAATTTAAGTTGCAAGAAGTTCTCTTCACGCAACTGACATCCGAACGTCAAGCTCTACGCAAACGATCCGTACTGGCGTTAGGCAATCTGATGGCTGTTTCGTCGGCACCTCTCTATCAGTCCACAATGCAATCACTGATTCAACAGTTGACTGCAGCAAATGTAAAGTTTTGTGTTCGATCCTCAAGGGAGAAATTTTTGGGTTTCTTTTCTGCACAAATGGATAGATGCCTTGTCAGTGTTAATCTGACGTGAGAATGATGAAATATTCTCATTAAAAGTGAAAGATTTCCGAGTGTTTGAAATTTGATTGTTCTTTTCTCATGCGTATGAGAATTTTCTCATTGAGAATGAAATATTCACATCAGTTTTGATTTTATTTGGTTTAGATTTGTGGTCGTTTTGCATTTTGAAAGGTTCAAGCATGTTGATTCGATGA